CACACCTTAAGAATAAACTGAGTTAGATGGTTAAGTGTCTTGTTTACCACTTTATAGAGGACTTCTGTCATGGCTATACTTATATTTATGTTACTTATATTATATTAAAGTTTTCCGTTTTTAATAGAACAGTTTCATTAGTTCATTCATGTTATTGATAATAAATAAACAGAGACGCAAACGGGAGCTACTCGAAGACAAAGACATCTGAGGGCTGCAATTAATTATTGTTTTCATAATAATGCAGATTCTTTTCTGCATTCATTGATTAATATCATTATTTATATATATATATATATATATATATATATATATATATATATATATATGAGAGTATATATATTTGTGTATACATTTGTGTGTGTTAACTCTGATAATCAGAACCATCACCATCACCGTTAAATCCCGGTTTCCTGTCTGGTTTGCTCACGTGTGACCTTAACTGTTACCAGACTGTGTTACAGTCTCGGTGTTTCTAATATTTTGTCCACCCCTATTGTAGTACCCGGATGAGACGGCCCAGGTGCGTTAAACAGGTAATGTTTGTCAATCTGAGTGAGTTTTCATTTCTAACGGAACACAAGCTAACAGCTAACAGCTAAAAACATTAGCGCGAGGCTAACGCGTCCGCCGTCATCGCAGAGAGACACAGAGCGCGAGACCGACGGGCAGACAGGTAACAGACTCACAGACGGGTGGCTGACAGAGCGACAGACTCACCTGCAGGTCACCTGTTTGGTGCTCATCTTTCTCGCGGGGCTTTAGCTGCTACGGCTGCTTCCAAGTGGTCGCGTTGGTGTTCCCTTCAAACACCACCGACTGACACCCGCGGTCACAGCAGGAAGGTTCCTTCTTCTTCTTTCTTCTTCTTTGTTGCGGTTTAGTGTCGGTTGGCAAACAATGAATTGGTGCATTACCGCCACCGACTGGTATGGAGTGTATATCAGGATGTCTAGTACTTATATAGTTTAATAAAAAAAATTATAATAATAAAACATTTAAAAATTTTAAAATGTAAATAGAAGTAAAAAATTAAAAAAAATTAAATTTAGAAATTTAGAAATTTAGAAATTTAGAAATTTAGAAATTTTAAAATTTAGAAATTTAAAGCTTTAAAAATGTAAACATTTTACAATTTAAAAATTTAGAAATTTAAAGATTTAAAGATTTAAAAATTTAAAAATTTAAAAATTTAAAAAATGTAAAACAATATGTAAAACAATATTTAAAAAATTAGATTTTTAATTATCAAGTTAAGTCCTCTATAAAGTAGTAAACAAGACACTTAACCATCTAACTCAGTTTATTCTTAAGGTGTGTCTGTGACACACATCCAGCAATAATTAACCCACTTCTTTAAACATATATATATATACTGACCAAGTTTGTCATTAATCCAACTTTGATCTATCCTTTTTGGTCAAGTCAATTTTAGTCTTGCCAAGGAGATTTCTCTTTTGTTCTAACTATCAAGTTGTTCAACATGACACCCATGTCTATAATGCATTTTAAACATATACTTAAAATACGTTATAATCTGCTTATAGCACTATATAATCATAGTTTTACGCCCTTCTAAATGTCCATAATGCTTTACAACAGTTATGAATTACTCTAAGTGGTCATTGTTTGCTTTGAGTAGAGTAAACAAATATTTTACAACCTTTTGTGTGTTCAAATTCAATGATATTTTTTCCCCACTTTGCTTAAGTCTGTTGTCTTTTATTTCTTTATTTATGAAATCAGTGTCAAATGTTTCAGAGGGCTAAAATTACACTTTCTGAGAAAAACAGTTTAATTATCTGTCAAAATCATCAGAAAGGTATTATATTATCATTAACAAATGTTATAAGAATATTGTCCAGGACATTTTATAAAACTATTGGTCAAGTCATTACAAGTTTTGGTTTTATAACTTTTTTCAATCAGGTTAAAAGCAAATTTTCTTAAATGTTTTGGGGAATTGTGAGTTTGACCATTCAAGGCCTTAAAAAAACAAGCAGGAGACGTCTTCAGATTACAACAGACCTGAGCATACAGAACACACTCACACACATACACGCACGCACACACACACACATACACACACACGCAAACACAGACACACACACACACATACACACACCGGTGAGATGGAAAACTTGTTGACCTACATTCAGTCTGTTGAAACCAATCAGATCGCAGGGCCGTTAAAGTTGCATTAAGGCTTTTATTTTGAAGGTGACTCTGGTTCGTACAGTTTCCAGTCTGAAGGTCAACTGTTCAGACTGCAGCAGGTACACAGGTGAGCCGGGTCACATGACAGCACCTGTAACCTGATAGGACGAGTCCGGGCAGTGACGACATCTGATAGGCTGTAACCATATAGCAACCAGGTGTGACACGAAGGAAGGGAAGAAGAAGAAACGGACGACTGACAGACAAGAGGAGCAGAGAAGAAGAAAACATGTCAACATATACAGTGAGAAGAGGTGAAGAAAGGAGGAACAGAAGATCTGAGGAGTAAAAGGAAGAGTGGGGGAGTAAAAAGAGGAGGTGAGGTGATAAAGACGGATTGAAGGAGTTAAAGGAGGACTGGAGGAGTAAAAAGAAGAGTTGAGGTGATAAAAAAGGAGGTGAGGAGTTAAAGGAAGAGTTGATGAGTATAAGGAAGACTGGAGGAGTGAAAAGAGGAGGTGAGGAGTTAAAGAAGGACTTAACGAGTTAAAGGAGGACTGGAGGAGTGAAAGAAGGACTGGAGAAATAAAGAAGGACTGGAGGAGTTAAAGACAAACTGGAGGAGTAAAGGGAAGAAGTGAGGAGTAAAAAGAACGACTAGTAAAAGAAGGACTTAATGAGTTAAAGGAGGAGGTGAGGAGATAAAAAAAGGACTTAACGAGTTAAAGGAGGACTGGAGGAGTAAAAGAAGGAGGTGAGGATTTGAAGAGATGGATCTCAATGTGATCCGACTGAGTCACTGTCAGAAGGAGATCTTCTGTTTCTCGGTGCCGGAGGAGTGTCCTAGCTGTGGAGAGGAGCTGAGGGGGAGCAGACTGCAGGAGGCACCGGTCAGTCTCCCCTCCCCCCTCAGCAACGCACACAAGACCTCCAGCTGCCTGCTGGTCGCACCTGCACACGACAATCACAGCAGGTAAGTACACACAGGTGTACACACAACATGTAAGTACACATACACACAACATGTAAGTATACACAGGTATACACACAGAGCAGGTTAGTACACACAGGTATACACAAACAACAGGTACACACACAAAAGGTAGATACACGCAGTTATACACACAGACAACAGGTAGATACAGACAGGTAAATACCAGTTGAGACCAGTATAACCAGTGTGTAATGTGTTGTTTCCTCAGAGAGTTTGATGGGACATCAGATCTGCATACTGGTATCTCCAACACTTCAGGTAAGACTCAGGGGTCAGAGGTCAGACTCTCCTGCTACAGTCATGTCTGTCTGTCTGTCTGTCCACATGTCTGTCTGTCTAACTGTCTGTCTCGCTGTTAGTCCACCACTGTGCTCCAGACTGAGTTATCTCAACTACTGTTGGATGGACTGATTAATGTGGTTCATCGTTCATGTTCCCCTGAGGATGAACTGTAATACCGTTGTTGATCCTCTGACTCGTCATGTAGCGCCACCATCAGGTCAACATGTTAATGTGTGTGTGTGTGTGTTTGTGTGTGTGTGTGTGTGTGTGTGTGTGTGTGTGTAGGAGTTGTGTATAACTACACTCATGGAGGAGTTGGTAGAGACCAGACTGGGTGGGAGCGCTGCGTCAGCATTCCTCTGGTCCGACCCGACATGTTCCACCTGCTGGCTCAGTGGGACCAGTACCTGGACCGCTTCTCTGACGGGCCCATGTGGGACCCGGCCTGGCACAGGTACACCTCACACCTGTCTCTCTCTCTCGATCGACCCTGTACACCTGTCAGTCTCTCACTGTCTCTCTCCATCTGTCATCTCTCTCTCTCTCTCACCTTTACCCTGTCCACCTGTCTGTCTCTCTCTCCACCTTTCAGTCTCTCATGTACGACAAAGGGTACCATAACTGCTTCACTTTCTGTCTTTGGTTCATTAATGTCTTGTCCACCTGTCTGTCTGTCTCTCTCACTTTCTCCCCTGTCTGTCTCTCCCCACCTGTCGGTCTCTCAGGTTTGATGAGGAGTACCGTAAATACTTCACTATCTGTCTTTGGTTCATTAACAGTTTTTCTCCCCTGTCCATCTATCTGTCTTTCCACATGTCTATCTCTCTGTCTGTCTCCCTCTCGTCTTTGTCCACCTATCTGTCTGTCTCTCTACACTGTCATAGTACCCCTGTCTTTCTCTCTCTACCCTATCCACCTGTCTGTCTCTCAGGTTTGATAAGGAGCACCATAACTGCTTCACTTTCTGTCTTCAGTTCATTAACAGTGTCTCTCCTTTGTCCCCCTCTCTCTCTCTCTCTCTCTCTCTCTCTCTCCCTCGACCCTGTGCACCTGATTGTTTATGTCTCTCTTTCTCTCCTGTCCACCTGTCTGTCTCTAACTCTCTCTCCTGTCCACCTGTCTGTCCCTCAGGTTCGATGAGGAGCACCATAACTGCTTCACTTTCTGTCTTCAGTTCATTAACAGTGTCCTGGCAGCAGAGGGGCGGAGCTCCCTGAGCAGAGAGACCTTCACTCACAGCTTCATCCTGCCGAGGATAAGGAGGGTCACCAAATACATCACGCTGTACCAACACATAAAGAAACATCGGTACTACATGGTGGACAGAGAGGAGGACAGACAGGAAGACACACCAGATAAACCAGGCTTATTCTAGTCTGTTTTAAGAAGGAGGGTTAAACAAATCTCCACCGTCGG